ATGGGAAGAATCGGCGCTGTACACCCGGGAGCAGATACCGTTGTAAGAGTTGTAACGTTAAAAACTGCCACTGGAGAACTTAAACGTCCGGTGGAGAAAATTTGCATTCTGCCACTTCCAAACAGCCACGATGAACATCAATCCGATGCAATGTTGCTGTGAAACCAGATCCTATACCTTTTCCAAACTCCCATCCCGTCAAAGAGGATTTCTTATTTTATTTTCAGAAATTTTGCGAATTTCTGGGTGCCTGTTCTGCTGCAAAGCTGAGGGAAACAATAACGAGAACGAGGAAACAAACCACGGCTATTCTACAGCATCACCATTACCTACGCTCGGTTGGTAGAGCGCCAGATGAGATGTCCATACGAGGTAGGGAATTGCGGCGATCGTCATCATCTGGGATCGATAGTAGCAGGACCCGAGAGAGTGAGGGTTTTCTGAGTTTACCTCACTGCAGGTCCAAGCGATCTGCAATCCCCATCCAGTGGACTCCCAGTATACCCGGACGGTGCCACATTCCGTGGCGGATCTGCTCGACGGTGACGGTGAGGAAAGCAGCAGGCGTGCCATATTCCGTGGCCGACGAACGGTGAGCTTCAGCCAGCTGAGGGTTTCCTTGAGTTTACCTCACGGCCCCAAAGCGATCTGCAATCACAACCCATCCGGACAGTACTGGACAGCGGGCACCCTTGGACTTGAGACATCCTATACCATGGAGCACCACCATTTTGTGGTGTGACATAGGCATCGAATTTAATCATTCGCCCATACATGCTGCGCACTATGCCTATAACCCTACTAAGCGCTTAAAACTATCTTCAATTCCTTAACATTAGAGCACTCACTCATACCGCTGCATGTCGCCGTTGCTTACTCAACTACTAGATTACCTCGATAAAGTCATTTCGTCACTGGAAGCCACTTAGCCTTGAGATCTGATCCACTCGCATGAGGGCGACCTGGGCGTATCGAACCTTTATCCGTGATCGGCGGACCACTCCAGCCAATGTGCTGTGAGAAGCGGATCTCCTGTTCCTCCGTGTTCGACGGATCACTACTGCCGACGAGATGTGTGCAACTATTCCCTCTTCTGTGATCGGTGGACCAATGGCCGCTCCGGCACCGTATTCGTCTTGATTCTATCAGTGATCAACGTACTCGATCCGTTCGACCAGCACCGTGGACGTCCAGGAGAATGTCAAAGCTACAGTGAAAGAAGCCCTGCAACGCAGTGCGGTTAGCTTCATGCGTGTGGTTTCCTGCATGCATCGTCACTTACTTCACGGTGAAGGCTTCTTTCCGGATACTTTTGGCCGACTAATCGTCTGTCGTACTTCCTCCAAACGCCGGATATTTGCTGTCTGCTGCAAAGACACACGTTGTCACTCACACGTGAACAGAACCAACTTAACGGTGCCAATTACCTTGTGGCCGAGTTTCTCCTATGTGCTTCGCCTCCTCGGGTAAATCTTCCGATCGTACTGATCCGATCCACGTGTCTGTTGAAGGTCATCGAATGGTCAACGCGCTTAGTGAGAGAGTGATTTATGGGTTAATTTACCTCTCGTTGGAATTCAGTGGATCCGGCAGATCAACACCTGCTGTGGGCGTAACGTACCAGCTGTGAAAACCGAAACGGTTTCAGTATCAATAAACTGGATGCACGGCAATCGAATGCGAGGAAATCACATTTTCCTGCTGGTTAGAAAAACCCTCTTCCTGCGTCGCCGTCAGCGACGGACGTGACGTATCTGATGGTGCTGTGGTTGATCATGCGTTGGTCTGACAAGGACGACGGTTTCCCACAATGCTTTGACTTGCACTTGCGCCGTTCACTTTACTGATCGGAGTGGTCTTCCAGCGGCGGGTGATCCGGCAATCTCGCTCCTAAATTCGCACACGTGCCGTCACTTTTTACGTGGATGGAGTGCCGGAGAATCAAACACCACGTTTCACTGCGACGAACCAAACCGAAATGATGTCTTGCCCGTGCTATGTCAGTCTTCGCCCAGCGGAAATCGTTCGGAACTGTCAACAGGACGGCAGCGACAGGCAGCGAATCTCCCTTTCTTGCATTTTCTTGCAAATGTGTTACTGGCTGCGTTCTATTTGTTTATCTTGGCTACACGGTAACTGATAATTACCTATTATGTTGTTTGCTCATGCTACTAGCTAACGTAACTGTAACAACGTCACTTATCTATATACCCCGAAATAAGGGTAAAGGGCGAACACGAAATTATTGCGACACATTCAACAGGGCATAACTTTTTTACCATTGGGTAAAAATCAACCAAATTTTGCACACTTTCTCATTGATGTGTATTGTGTACATGCTGTCAAACTCGAAGTCGTGTTTTTCGATTCAACGAAAATGGAGGTGAACCAACGCGAGTTGAGAGAACAAATTCTTTCCAAACACCTGGAATTTCCTGACCTGTCGCACCGGCAGTTGGGAAAAATGTTGAACATTCACCATTCAACCGTTTCCAGAGTGTTGAAGCGGTTCCAGGAGCGGTTGACGTTGGACCACGGCAAAGGAGCTGAAAGAAAACCGGGAGCGGAGAACAAAAAGACGGAGGGAAAGGTGAAGCGGATGATTAAAGCAAATCCCAACGTCTCAAGCCGTGATTTGACTAAAAAGATCGGCATGTCGCAGAGCTACGTCCAGAATGCAAAGAAGAGAGCTGGACTACATCCATACAAGGTACAGAACTTCCCAAACCGCGATGAGCGGCAACAATCGATGGCTAAAACTCGGGCACGGAAGCTCTACGAGAAGATGCTGACAAAATATGGCTGCTGTGTGATGGACGACGAAACGTATATAAAAGCCGATTTTAAGCAAATTCCGGGGTCGGAATTTTTCACCGGCAAGAGCAAGTTCGATGTGGACGACAAATTTAAGAAGAAGAAAATGTCGAAGTTCGCCTCCAAATATCTCATTTGGCAGGCCATCTGCTCTTGCGGACTGAGGAGTGAGCCTTTCGTGACAGTAAATGGCGAGATCTACAAATCTGAGTGCCTCGAGGAGCGCCTTTTGCCGTTCTTGCAGCAGCACGACGAAGCTCCGCTATTTCGGCCAGATTTGGCATCATGCCACTATTCTAAAAGTGTCCTGGAGTGGTATGAGGCCAATTCTGTCCATTTTGTTCCAATGGACATGCATCCGCCAAACTGTCCGGAGCTGCGCCCGGTGGAGCAGTACTGGGCAATAATGAAGCGGGAACTTCGGAAGAGCAAGAAGACAGTCAAAGACGAGAAGGACATGTTAAGAAAATGAAAAAAAAACTGAGAAACTGGTACCGGATGACACTGTAAAGACTTTGATGGAGGGCACCAAGCAAAAATGCGTTCAATTTTACACTCAAGGCTCCATCGATTAACTTTTCTTTTGATTTTTGAAGTAAATATATGTATAAAACTACCCCAAAATTTTGGTTTGATTCTAAACATTATAAGAAAATTGGCATGACATTGTCGGTGTCGCAATAATTTCGTGTTCGCCCTTTAATGAAGTGAAATTCAAGATATGAATTAGAGATAATACCTAGATTTAAAAAATAAATAAATTTAATTTAAAAGTCGGTATATGTAATTGCTCAGCCGATTTCTTTCATTGAACCTTACTGCCTATAATAGCATATCAGTCCCATTAAGCTTTTGTCAATGTTGAGATAATATCGCTATCTACTATCAATTGGCATCTACTTTCATATTACGTGATAAAACTATGGACTTTCATCGTGAAAAATGTGAAAACAAACAAAACAAAATGATCTGATATCAGTTCCATCCTGAAATTCAATCATCCACAGTTTTTCGCTGATATAGCAAAACATGCAACTGATTTTAACTGGAAAAAATTATCAATAAATAAACTAAGATTTTTCAAATATTTAGACGGGAATTGCACTTCGTAACTTCTACGGCCATTTTCTCTATGCCTATTTTTTTTCCATGTGGGACAGATATGCGATTACAGGCACTTGATGACTTTTCAAAGCAATGACAAATGATGCGTCGCCAATAAAGCTGGGTTTATTTTTTTTCTATTAATATAAACCGTCGGAATAAATCTGAAAGCTCTCATGGATCCACTTTTCCCGTTCGGCTGGTATGCTGTCAACATCCAATTCACTGGTTCCCATCCTCATTCATCAGGAATCAATTTCCTCTCCGCCATTATTATTATTATTATAAATCGCATTAATCCTGCCGTCGAAGGCATTGTTATTGAACTGATATAAATACTTCTCAAACTCGGTTCTCCTCCATTCCGCCCCCTGCACCGCCACAATCACATTCCAAGCCAACCCATCGAAGTAATAAACAATATAAGGATGCCCTTCCCAAGTACCCGGCGATGTTGCAAACACCTATATCGAGCAATATCTTAGAAATTTATGTTCTCTCTTGGACACCGGAAAAATAAATAAAGGTCTCTAAAAAGAAAAGAAATGAAAAGCAATGAGCGCTTCCCAGAACAGTGCAACAGTACCCTGCCATGAGCAAATTTATTAAATATTAATGTCGTCGTCGGTTGGCCGACCGGTTCATTACAATATAATAAAAAAATGATCACCAGATAAACATCTTGCCGGAGGAATTGTTTATTCAAATCACCTCCAAAATATGGTTGCCACGAAGATATCGAATTGGTTCCGCCTTCAGGTGAGGACGACGTAATTTTCATTCAAAACCGAAGTCAAATGGAAAACGAACGACACCATCGATTGTGCTGAACGACCAACCGGTGGCCCACTACTGAATGCTGGAAGGATGTTGATCCTTGTAGTGACCTTCGTTATCACTGGTTTCGCTTCCGAACACCAGGTGCACGCAGAAGACTTCAATGATTGTATGCGAAACGAAACTGCGCATGTGCGGTGCTTTTCGCGCCAAACTTGCATGCAACTTCAAATGGACTTGTTCTCATATGTTCTAATCAAGCCTGCGATTACACATCATTTACAACAATTATATTCTAACCCATCTTAATCCTCATCGTCAGACCTTATCTCTCCCTCCTCAATTTCTTCATCAGCATCCCGTACCACACCAGCACTAGCCTTTCTGGCTCCAATCACATCTATCTCAGCATCCTGATCTTCATCATCTTCCACCTCAACCACCTCCTCCTCCTCTTCCTTATCCTCATGACGCGATCTCTTCCGATGTCGATGCCGGAAGTCACCGTGATGCTGATGCTGCTGTTGGTCCATTTCGATCAGTTTGTGCGTCGACGAATGGAAAGTTCGGATCGTTTCGCGCCGGTTGTGTGTCATGACCGATCGCATCGTTCGGTGCAGGAAGCGTTTGTTGGCTTTCTTCAGGGGACACCCGCGCCACCCGAGGGCACCGACCTGCGAGGCACGGATGCGCCCGATCTTGACATCCCGGTAGATTTCCTCGATTGCTTGACTGGAAATGAGATTTTTTTTTTTAGTAAACAAAATGAACGATTTTGATTAAATACCCATTTATAAAGGTTTTTTTTTAAATAATCTGCCCACGCTTAGTTTCCAGAATTTTTTAAGTTTTCCAGGTTGTACGATATACAGTTCAATTAAGCATTAAACCGAATGCGATTGAAGCAAATACATCACTAGGTTTAATGGGTCATTACTAAACAAAACTCAATTCTTCCTATGATTTAAATAACATGAAAATTTGCTTACTTCTTTTTGTAGGATTTCTTTGGAATGTTCTCAAGAATTTCCTTTAGAATCATTGCCCTTCACAGACTTTGTTTCAAAGTTCTTCCACAATAAATTTGATCAAACTATGAGCTCAAGCTTCTCACTGGAAGTCACTTGAACATTTTTTTTTGTAACAATCCAGAAGTTGTCCGCAGAACACTCCAAAAATTTATGGAATTCATCCTAGGATTCTCTTTGATTTTTTAATGGTTCTTCCAAGAATTTACTGAAGCTTCCTGGTTATTATTAAAATTTGATATTCCCCTCAGAATTGTCTTGAAATTCTACTCAGCATATTGCCCGTAGCACTATCGTCAAAATTCGATACCCTTGATGTTGCGATAAGAAACGAAAGGTTACACATTAATTTTGGCAGCTAGATTTTTATTCACTTCAAAACTTAATTTTAGTTCAGTTCTAATTTAGCATTTTGATAAGAACTTCCCGCATAAATGCGAACCATTACTTGACCTGTGAGTGTGTGTGGATACAATTCATCTCCCACTGACCGGCAGTCTTTTATGGAAGAAACCTGCCTGGACCTAGACTGCCCATAATTGCATATCAGTACCATATGGATAGGCAATCAAGCAAAGATGGGACTGATATGCGATTATGGGTAGTAGAGGTGTGCGTCGCCGCTCTAAAGGGCCATCCACATTAGATCCGTTTGCGTTGCGTTGACGTAAATTTGACAGTTAGACAATAGATTTAGCTGTCACTTTGCCGTAACGCGTCCGATCCGGATCTAATGTGCGTGGGCCTTAAGTCTTAGCAACCCATGAGCTTGGCAACCCTGCACTTATGACTTTTGAGATTATTATTTTACCTTGTCAAGTTCTCATGGATGATTGAACGAGTTATTTGTGTACATATTGCATACGAGGGTACTCACAAGTCCTGTTTACAGGTAAAACGAGCATCAAATAACATGCATGTGAGTCTTTTTTTTTGTTTATTTGTTTATTTGTTTATTTAATAATTCAACTGGCAATTAATGTCTTAATGAATAAAACTTAATCTAAATAGTTATGGTCAACGAAACGAAAACGGTCAAGTAACCGGTGACGAAACACATTTGCTGATACGTTAAAGTCAAATTCGCAATAAAAGTAGTTAAATTGTCGGCTGATTGCACGAATTGGTTCATTCTGCGTATAATTTCTGCCTCGTGGCTCCAGAAACAGAAATTCGCGTTGACGAAGAGGTCTCTCAGGAGCATACATATTTAGCTGGGCCAGCAACGTTGGACAGTCAATGTCACCCGTGAGAAGCTTTCCAGCAAACATAGCTTGAGCGACCGTCCGTCGCACCACTAGCGGTTCGATGCCCAGAAGACGGCAACGCTCCTCGTGCGGTGGCAGGTTCGATGAGTCACGCCAGTTCAAGAAACGAAGAGCATATCTCACAAACTTTCGTTGAACAGATTCGATTCTAGCGATCCAAGTGGTTTGGAAAGGGCACCATACAACTGCACTTGATTCTAATATAGACCACACAAGTGAGCAGTAAAGTGATCTGAGGCATAACGGGTACCGGACACCATCGGCAATTTTGAAAATAAAACCCAGTTAGCGATTGGCTCGGGAAATGATGTCGTTATAATGGATTTTGAAGGTGAGCCTGCAGTCCAGAGTAACACCGAGATCCTTTATTTGTTCTACACGGGCAATGCAACGTCCAAAGAGCACATAGTCAAACATAATTGAATCGTTTTTACGGTGATAGGAGATGATGTTGCATTTTTCGATGCTCAGGCCCATCAAATTTCTCGTGCGCCAGTCAGCGAAAATACATAGCATATGCTGGAGATCCCAACAGTCCGAGAAGCTTTTGATAATTTTGTAGATTTTGGCGTCATCTGCGTAGAAAAGACGACATCCAGATGGTAACAACAGAGCGATGTCGTTTAAAAAGATGGAAAACAGCAGATGTCCCAGGTTGCTGCCTTGCGGGACTCCCGAGTTGTTTGAGAAAACATTTGATTCCGTCGCGCCAATCTTGACTCGTACAGAGCGATTCACTAAGTACGATCTGAACCATTTCACAGCCGTAGACGAGACACCTAGTGTCTCCAACTTAGCAAGCAGGATTTCATGATCCACCCTGTCAAAAGCGGCTTTTAAGTCCATGTATGCAGCATCAACTTGCCATCCAGCATCCAAGCTTCGCAGACAGTCAGAGGTAAACTGCACCAGGTTCGTGGAAACCGATCGCTTGGGATAAAAACCATGTTGGTCCGTATCGATATAATTTTTACAGCACATAAACAGAGCATCATTTACAATAATCTCGAAAAGTTTAGAGCAGGCGCACATTGAGGAAATCCCACGATAATTAGCGACATTCCGTTTGCCTCCTTTTTTGTGAATTGGAAACAGATAGGAAAGCTTCCAGCGGGAGGGGAATTCACTTTGCTGTGCCGAGAAATTAAAAAGTCGCGCAAGTGGAAGGCAGAGGTTGACTGCACATCGTTTTAAAACTGACGAGGGAATTCCGTCAGGACCAGCGGCGAATGAGTTCTTCATTTTGCGTGTTGCGGCTATCACCATGTCTTCAGTGATGTGAGGTATGTCAAAACTAAAAACATCACGTGGCATCCCGGAGGTTGCGACCAACACCTGTGTCGGTGAAGCGGAAAAATCGTGGAAGACTTGTTTGAATTGACGAGCAAACAAGCTGCATTTTTCACTTTCGCTGCACGCCGTATCATCTCCGAGGAACATGGAACAAGGCAGCCCGGATTCTTTCCGTTTTGAATTTACAAACGACCAAAAACCTTTCGGGTTCGACCGAAGGTTCGCTTCCGTGCGTCTCACGTGCCGATTACAGAGGAAGTGGTTGTAGTTTCGATAGCGACGACTTGCGAAATTATACTGTTGCTTGTAGAACGGTGAGCGAGAGCTGCGGTACCTTCGGAGTGCGGCGGAGCGCTGACGTTTTAGTTTGCGTAGGCGTGAGTTCGACCATGGAGGCTTCTGCGGGGGACGTCTTGCTGGGACAGTGCGGAAAATAACTTCTTCCAGCGCAGAGCTGAAACAATCCACGGCATCATTGACACTAGCGGCCGTTTCGATACAGTGCCAATCTATTTCCTCAAGCGCATTGTTCAATGCAGTGTAATCGGCCCGGCACGACGAAAGCGGGATGGTCGGCATCTAGATCGATCAGTGGCTCGACCGGTAGAGAAACAGAAGTGTATGGTAATGCTGAGTCATTTGCCAGAACAAGATCTAACAAACGTCCATTACGGTTGGGAAAAATGTTCGCCTGAGTGAACCCATGAATGTTAAATCCGTCCAGAAGTTCACAGCAAGCAACCGGCATATGCGTTTAGCAGAGGATCAATGAATGGTGTGCCACTGTCAGAGAAACGCCACTGTAAACCAGCTTGGCTGTAGTTGCCAAATAGGAGAGCGGGAGAATTGAGGCACAATTGAGACGAAATCGAGCCCAACGAATTAACGTGCTCATGGATGATCGTGCAGTCGTTTTTTCGGTCTGCACATACACTGAGCTTGGTTCTTGGCAGATCCACAACAATCCAGATTTGCTCTAGCAGACTTGAAATGGGCGAGGTACTTACATAGCTGGTCAGTTTCGTTGTGACGGCGATCAGAACCCCACCACCACGCATTTTTTGACTATTTGGCGGAGAGCGGTCGGTTCTGAAGACGGAATAATGCGATCCAAACAGCTGCGGTGAGTAAATCCGGTCATCCTGCCAAGTTTCTGTCAGAACAATCAAATCGTACTCAGCCTCGGAGACAGCCAGGAAAAACGGGTCGATTTTAGTCCGCAGCCCACGCACATTTTGGTAGTAAATCCGGAGACCACTCAAGATGCCACTACGCGAACTGGAAGTTGAAGGGAAATCAGGTACCGAAAGTTCGAAATTGCAATTATACTCGCCTGGAGTTGCAGGCCGGAAGCCCCCGATACCACCACCGACCACAGGACCGGGACGATGACGATGGCGGATGTCAGCAGCAAGCCCGACTGGGTCGGGGGGCTCGGGAGCTTCCTTAGTGCCTGTTTTAGGGTGTCCCGGATCCGATGAAGTTGTGGCGATGGTGTCAACAGCTGGAGAAACGTAGCACGCTAGTTTTTTGCCGAATCAATAAACTCGTGAAACTGTAATCCGGCAGGCCAGGAATCCGGATCGAGTGCAGCATCTTTCAAACAAGGATCCAAACCGATCTTGAATGACACAAATATCATACTGGATACGACTTTTCCTCTGGGAACCACACGCACCACATCGACAGGTTCAGTTAAGCTCAAGCAGCGTGACACAATACTCTGCACGTCGTTATCGGTGATGAGCGGGCAAACTGGTGTAGCACTCAGTGACGGGTTGCGTTGTGGCTTAGCAGAGAAATTGTCGACTTTTTTACTTAGCTCAGCCACGGCATCATGCAGTTGCCAAACCTGATCTGGCAACTAAGCAAGCGAGGAGGGTTGCATTTGTTGTTGCTGCTGATCGTCGATGAAACAGCGGATAGAGCGGCCCTGTAGAACCCCACGACAGGAATTGCAAACGAAGAGTATCTTTCCAGCTGATAATGGTTCCTTCAGATTGCGGATATTAATACCGCAACACTGCTGGCTGATGTGGTAGAATGTTTCGCCAAAACCACCACGCAGCGGCTCGAGATCGTTGACAACGAGCTGACATTCTCCGCATTGTTTTTGGTCCATTCTGCTTTGACGGAGCTGCAC